GTTCGTTTATTTATCGCCATGGTCACTCTTCAATAATGACCTCTTTATCAACTGGATATTAAAAATATTTTTCTCAATGATGATTTGCAAGAAGAAATCTATATGGAGCAACCTCCTGGATTTGTTGCTCAGGGGGAGTCTTCTGAGATGGTATGTCATCTTCGCAAATCCCTATATAGCCTAAAACAGTCTCCTAGGGCCTGTTTTGGAAAGTTTAGCAAGGTTGTTCAACAATTTGATATGACTCGGTGTGAAGCAGATCATTCTGTCTTTTATCGACACTCGAGTGCTAGATGTGTTTACTTGATAGTATATATTGATGACATCGTTCTTACAGGTAGTGACAACCATGACATCTCTTAGCTGAAACAACATCTCTGTCACAATTTTCAGACCAAAGATCTTGGCAAACTTAGATATTTCTTGGGTATTGAGGTGACATAGTCTAATGATGATATTGTTATATCTCAGAGGAAGTATGTCATGGATATTTTGGAGGAAACTGGGTTGATGAGTTCAAAGTCTATTGATACATCCATGGATCCCATTACTAAACTTCTACCAAATCAAGGGGAGTCTATATCTAATCCTGAGCAGTATAGAAGATTGGTTGGAAAATTGAATTATCTTACAGTTACTCATCCTGACATTTCCTTTGCAGTCAGTGTGGTAAGCCAATTTCTTAATTCACCATGTGAAGATCATTGGAATGCAATTATTCGTATCTTGAAGTATATTAAAGGATCTCCTGGAAAAGGATTGTTATATGGTTCTAATAACTATACAAGAGTTGTTTTTTACTCAAATGTTGATTGGGCAGGATCTCCTTTAGATAGAAGATATACATCTGGATATTGTATCTCCATTGGTGGTAACTTAATCTTATGGAAAAGTAAGAAACAAAGTGTTGTGGAAAGATCCATAGTAGAAGCAGAATATAGAGCTATGGCCTCAGCTACCTGCGAACTTGTTTGGCTCAAACAATTGCTTAGAGAGTTACAATTTGGAGGGTCACTCAAATGACACTTGTGTGTGACAATCAGACTGCTTTTTATATTAGTTTTAATCCTGTCTTTCATGAGATGACAAAACACATTGAGATTAATTGTCATTTCATTCGAGAAAATATTATATCTGGAGACATCAAGACTGAATTTGTTAACTCAAGTGATCAGTTAGCAAATATTTTCACTAAGTCTTTACGGGGGCCTAGAATTGATTATATTTGTAACAAACTTGACACATACGATTTTATGCTCCAGCTTGAGGGGGAGTGTTAGATATTGTTTGATATTGTTAACCACAATATCAAACAATATCTTATGTTTATTCTGTTTAGTTTCGGTTACTCTTTTAGTTGTACATCTCTCTATCATAAATAGATTACCCTATGTGTGGTTTATACACAAGGGAGATTAATCTCAAACTCTATTTTCTCTATATTTAACAATTACTATTAACTTCACTTTCTCAAACTTGTGTGTTGATGAAGTGTCCAATATCTTTCTCGAGTTATCTTGTTTGTCATGAAGTTTCTTCCTGCTCATTTAGCTTTCGACATATGCACACGTTTTCCTGCCTCAAGGCATATAGTTCTTTGGTGCTTCGTCTTTTAAAATTTTCCAATTCATTTCTCAATTTTGTTATAAAGGAAGCTTCATTCATGTGATTCTCTTCTCTTGTTGATGGTCATTACTACAAAATATGTTTTCCACATCGTTATTTAACGTCGGTTAAAGCTGAGACGACGTTGAATACAATTTTAACGTTGGTTGGTTAAAAAACGATGTTGAAAGTTGAATTTTGAACACATTCTACGTCAATTTTTAATCAGTCGATGTTATATATGACATTTTACGTCGATTTTAGTATATCCGACGTGGAAAAGTCTCTCACCGCTTATTATGTTCCTTGTTGTCACCATATCCTTTATGACTCTTCTCGACCCCACGGTGGGTGGCAAAATATTTTTGTTGGATCGAGAACCTTTTGTCGGATGGTGACTTGGCTTCATGCTTCGGATGATGTGTCGCTAAATATATGTGATCTCGTTCCTTGATGTATTATGCCTGTGAAGGCGTAGTTAGTGTTCTTACCAAAGACACTCTGTCGTTGAAGTCAGTAAAAAATAAATGATCAATTAGAAATTAATGAATGTGACTTACCTTGAAGTATTACCTATTTATATTACCTTTATATAATCTCCAAAGAGAGTTTTTAACCAAAGTTGCTTAAGAATAAAATTGAATATTTTATTATGGATCTTATAATTGAGTTGTTTAAAATTTGGTCAGAATTGCTTATTCAAGCAATTTTCTTCTAATTTTAAGTAATTTTTTTTATTTTTAAGCAACTTAAATGTGAGACCTACAATAAAATATTCACTTTTATTCATAAACAACTTTTCTTATAAGCTTTGGAAAAATTCGGTCTTTCTACTTTTTTTTTTTCACATGAACATAATATAGAGATCATTCGTGCTGCTACATAGACTATTCGTATGAATACTGTAGAAACTTGATGCGGCTAGTGTGACATGGATCATATATATATATATATATATATATATATATAATTAACTTTTTAAAAATATTATTTTATTTTTTCTTTTATTTTTTAAATATGTTAAATTTTTTAATTATATAAGCAATAAGGATTATTTTTAATACATTTTATTATTTCTCTCTCAAATGATACTAAATAAATAATTATGATTAAAAAAAAATAATTTAAAGACGATAAACATAAATATCTTTTCATTTTAAATGAATAAAAAAAGTAGTTTCCTTTAAACCATCTTCACAAACAAATGCCTTTTAACACTCTGAAACTCTATAACTTCTAAATGCATGTAATTATTCTGATTTAGTTTGAGAAATAACTATTTTATTTAACCCTTTTACAACTGTTAGTATAAACTTTTCCCCTTAATTTAGTAGAGAAAAAAAAATGAAATAAATAAAAAGGAAAAAAAAGGAAAAAAAATAGGTGAGCTTCGTTAGAACTTACATTGTTTAATAATATATATATATATATATATAAAAAGTTTTGAAGACTTCACAGAGAGACATATTTTTCAAGCCTTTTAAAAATACTGATTCAATTTTTTTTATTTAAAAAAAAACAGCATTTACCTTTATATCTTTATTTACATTAATTTTTTTAAAATGAAATTACTAATTCAATTTTAAAAAAATCGAAATATTTGTTATTTAGAAGCATTTGTATCCTATAGAATATACAAGACTTGTTGATAGGAAATTCTAATACATCTTCAAAAATATATCATAAATTTATCCATGCAGATTTACACATGGGTGCAGGTGGGGTTTACTCAAATATATTACTTTTGTTAGAAGTAAAACAATCTAAGATTTTCTTTTATAACAGTTTGGATTAATTGTTGTAATTTTTGTAATATATATATATATATATATATATATATATATTAATTTTATAGTTTTTTTCAATAATTCTTCATAACATATATTATATAATTTAATATTTAAATAATTTGGTATTTAAATAATAATAATAATAATAATATTTATTTTATATCTAGTCAAATAGGTTTCATGTTCAACATATATAAATATTATGTTATATCATGGAGTTAAGTTAGATTTTATTTAATTTTTACTTTAATTATTTTGTATATCTTTTTATTTTTTATTTACATAATTAAACAATACAAAATTTAAAACTTGTTTCACAATAAGGTGAGGAGATAATTATTTATTTTTTAATTGTAATTGATTGTTTAGTATATTTATACAAATATTTTTTATCTTACTATATATTTATATTTTTATGGCTTTATATATATATATATATATTTAAATATTTTATTTTATTTTATTATCTTATCCCACTGTCATTATTTAAAAGTTTTTGTTCTTATCACGATATTATCACTATCTTTCATAAATTATTATTATTATTATTATTATTATTATTATTATTATTATATACATAATATTTACTTTATTTAAAAATTAAGATAAAAAATAATTTATTTACGTTCTCTTTTATTTAAAAATAAAATCATTGTATATATTAAATTATAAAAATTAATTCTAATATTATAATATCGAACCACACATATTAAAATATAAAACATAAAAAATATTATAAATTATAATTTCATTAATATTGAGCTGAATGATTTTTTTAATTTAATTTTTATTAATAATCTTACAATAATAAAATTTAATTGACTTTAGTACATTATAATCCCTTAAGTCGTTACAAAGAGACTTAATGTATTATTATATACTATTGTTAGTTAATGAAAAATAATAACTTACTAGAATTATTAATAAAAAATTATGTCTTTATCTAATTCACAACTCAATTTAATTTCTAAATAATAACCATTTGTAAATATAATTAAAAATATTAATAAAATTAAATATTTTTTCATAATGGTAAATATCTTTATTTTTTTATTTAAAATTTTATAATGTTAATTTTATTGAGAGATTAAAGATAAAGTCACACTGTTGTTAGGATTCATGGCAAATTACTTATTTCCAAGACAAATAATTTTATATAAATCACAATCATTTCCTTGCAACATTATTATGACATTTATACCATTATCATCATTAATTTTAGAACTTTTACTGCATGATGTTTACTATACAATTCAATCTGAACCATGACTACCATATTGTCATGGTATTATTTTTCAATAAAAGTTATAATTTGGATTAATTACTTTTTGGTATGATAATTATGTTTTGTTTATGCAATTTATATATACACTTATGTTATTATTTTTTATTATTTTTTTACAATGATATTGCTAAACATTTTAGAGTTGAAAATGAAAATTTTAAATTTTGGAAGAAAAAAAAAAAAGAAAGAAAGAAAAAGAGAAATATGAAACATGGAGTTGAGTTGACTGGTAGTTGTTAATTTGAGAGTGGGTGAGAGGGAAGGGTGAAGGGTGAAAGGAGAAAGCCAGGCTCGAGGAAGATATTGAATCGGGTTAATCGATGGGCGTGTCTTCAAACGAATCGATACAGTTATGCATTTTTGATCTGAGGAGAGGCCAAAACGAGGGCCAAGAGCTCGATAAGATCCTCTTCTTCTTCCCCGCGGGCTTGCCCTTCTCCAAGCAACTCTCCGTCATTGGCCTCAGCGAAGGGCTCATCACCTTCACAAGGTTAGGGTTTCTATCCATCAATTTCGTTTTCAACTTGTTCAAGAGATTAATTGATTGCTCATTCATTCACTCTTTCATTTCTCCGCTTAATTTGCAGAATCTTCTCCCCCGAGGCTGCTTGCGAGGTCATCGAAGCTGAACGGCATTCGCATGTTTTCCACGAGGCCGAACCAGATATTTGGATTATCATGGTCCGTTTTTTTTTTTTTTTTTTTTCATTTTTCCTCTTTTTATTTTCTGTCACTCGAGTCGAAGACTCTAATTCAGTAGCCTAGCCTAAGCTCTAGCCCCTACGGATAGACTAGTTATTTATACTGTTAAATAGATTTATTAGCAGTAGTGAGGAAAGCTTGCAACTAATGCATTACTTAAATGAATAATATATGTTTATAATTGTATGCACCAGGAAATGGATTTTTTTTTTCTTTCTTTCACTGCAATATTCGAGAGATAATAGTTTTGAAATTGTTCGCGGCATCTTTGGTTATTAATGCTAAGGTAGCAGCAGAGCTCACATCGAAGCCTCTTCAAGTCACTCACTGATTTGAGGCTTATTCTTTGATTACGTCTGTTGCTACATTGTGTATACGAAATAGTAATTAATGCTTACTTACTCTGAAGCGCCTATGAAGCTAGCTACGGAAAATTCTCATCATTAGATCACCATTCAAAACTCAATCCCAAGATTGGCCATCTTGTAAGTACAAATAGCGGGATAGTACTCCCATCTGATGAAGTTCTTCATTAAGTTTCACAATGTCAAAGATATGTAATTCATTGAAATAGGAAGCGCTGCATTCCTGTATTTTTTGAGTTTAACTGTCATATTAGTGTAAAGTTGTTACACTGTAAATCAGTTACAATTCACCCTTAGAATGACTCGTAAGGTAGCTATGATGAAAATCAACAAATTTATCATATACGATGAAATGTGATTGAATGACTGTATAAAATACCTTTCCCTTGTCAGTGCTTTTCAATTAAATCAATATTTTTGTAGGACTATTTCATTCATTATATTTTTGTTTCCTTCTGATAAATATTTAACTGGATGGAATTTAAAATTTTTGAGGACTCGGTTACTGAAGTGCAGATGTTGTCAACTTGCCACAACGTTGCTTCACCTATGTGCAATTTGCAGTAATGAGGTTGTTACCTTGTAGGTGGTGGAGAAAAGCAATGATTCAGAACCTATATGGAGAGATGATGCTTTAAGAAAAGTTCTCAAGGAAATTCACTCACTTTTTGTAATGTTTCATGGATCTATTAGAGCAATGCTGGAGAAAGAACCTGGTGGAGGACTAACAAGACGGCATTTATATTCCTTCATCATGGATTATCTGAGGGGTAAGTCATCACACAATAGCATGCCTATGAAATTGATAAATAATTTTTTTTTTCAGTAGAGTTTTGATTCAAAATATTTCATTGTAAGTGATAATTGTCAGCATGTAAAAAGCGGTCTCCGTGGGATACTTGCTGCTGTGGTAATGGTGAAGTTGCTGTATCAAATGGTTTCCTTTGGCTTTGTGCTACCTGACTGATGCTGAAGTAGCTGTCTCACAAACCTTAATTATGAATTTTCTGTTTGAGGCAGATTTTCTTGCGGGGAAAAAGCTTCTTTTACCATCATTCCGTGATTGCTTAAAGGAACGCAGAACTGTGCAGATGCTGACAATTGGTCGGGAAGCTGCAATTGAGGTTCAGGTTAGATATGTTTAAAGTTGTGGTTCAAAAAACTACAAAAATCCTCCACAACTAGGGCGATAGAGCATCAGAGTTTTATAAGTTGTAATTTTAATAGTATTTCGCGTGTTCCAATTACCTTGGGTGGTTTGTATATCATATATTGTAATTTGCCTCTCTGTCTCTCTGCTTCACTCTTTATTATCTTATTTTCATGGTTCCTTGTAGAGTCTGTTTGCATATATATATATATATATATATATATATATATATATATATATATATATATATATATATATATATATATATATATATATATATATATATATATATATATATATATATATATATATATGTATATATATTTATCCTTTTATTTTTTTCATTTTGCTTTGGAAATGACAGATTTGAGTTTAGTATTACAAGCTTTTTCGAAATTTGGATTTGGTTGGATGAGGAAAAGAGTATGGTGTTTTTAATTTTATACTCAACTAAGAAACATATGGGAGAGTCTGAGCTGGTGTCTTGTGTCTAATTTAAATTTGCAATGCTATCTCACAATCACAGAAATTAAAAATGATAGCATTGTGAGGCATCTAATTCTTTTTATTCCACTTACCTTTTATCTTTTGTTAATTTCCTAATTAGCCTGCAAAATCATTAACTAGCACTTACTAATAAATAGTAAGTAACAATTGTAAGTGTAAATATGAAATGAAAAAAATGAAATTACTTACGTTATTGCACCTGTTGTCAATTGTGATTCATTTATATATATATATATATATATACTCTTTTTTTCTAATTGTAAGTGTTAGCATATTTACACAGTTCTCAAACAAATTAGATTATGTTATAAAGTTTGACACATAAAAATAGGTGATGCTTCGTCTCTCATCACTTATTTTTAATTTATAATATATTTTTGTTAATGATAATTATTATATTATACTAAATATGTATGGATGTCCAATTTATCTAAATTTTAATGTACATGATTGTCAAGATAATATTATGTGATCCAACAATCAGATTGATTGTATTCATGTTCAACAATCACCCATCAATGAAAAGTCGACTAAGATGAAGCATGCTTGCATATTTACATTTTATGCATATGTTTGTGTGTAACATAAGTGGTTTTAACCTTTTCATGTGTTATGAATGTTTGTATGTCTGCATTCCACACTTTGGATCTGGTGCCCAGTTAAGCTATTGACTACTTGCAGCATGTTTTGATGAAAAAGGAAGATTGGAATGTTGATGGCATTCTGTTTTGTTGATTTCTTCTTGTTTGCAGTCCCTTGTCAGGGTGCTTGAATCTTCTGCTGGAAACACTATCTGCTACTCTTTGATTTTATTTCAAGACCTGCTAGTGTCCACAACTCTATCCCCTGTATGGTTTATTTGTGCATTTTTTTTTTTACTGAATTTGATTGGGCAGAATGATTGGTCATTCATTAAGTTACTTAATTAACCTTGACTATGTTATCAGGATGACACCATAAATTTATTCACATATGCGGTGCTAAGGTTGACTCCTCATGCTCTATCTGCTGGAACAAGTTCCTGGTCCTACTTAAGGAAAGGAAGTACTGCATCCAATGTTGCCACTGAGTCTAACGTGGCCCATCCAAACTCTATGTCTGAAAGCTTTTATGGCTCATCTGATATATCCTCTGGTGAAGATAACCACTATCATGTTGTGAGGCCCTTACAGAGTGACAAGTGGTCTAAAGGAAAAGATGGTTATCTTGTCACTGATTTATGGGGTGCAGAAGTTGGTACGTGGGTGTTTGCCACTCCTACAGTTTTGCTTCAACAGACAGGACAGAAAATGTATCTCTGTGTTTATCAGCATAGAAGCCTTACTTTAATGCTTCTGATTCCTGTATCATCCGTACTTAATGGGGAGCAAGGTGTGTCAGCAGTGAGGCAGCAAGTTATCGAAAATGTTAGTCCTCTCATATAGTTAATTTTTTGTTTCCTAATGAATTCTGTTAAGCTTTGCCCATAATATGAACTGACACTTAAAATTCTAGTGTTTTCTATCATATTTTTAGGGTTCAAGCTCAACTCCATGCATGGTTCAATTTATTGACAGGACCCTTTTATCCTAAAAATGTCCCATGGAATTAGTTTTTACTACTTCCAAACTTAGGATAGTGGACAAACGTTACTTTTCTAGTGTTTTCTTTCCCTTTTACTGAAAAGAATTCCCAAACATAGGATAGTGGACAAACGTTACTTTTCATTTCCCTTCTTACATGTTCTTCTCAATAAGCATAGCCTTTAATACTATGAAATTTTTTGGGCCACTAGATCGTTGAATTCTCTTCATAGCTTACTTACAAGGTTTGTGTGTGTTCAGTGACACCAACATGAAAGAACAATTCATTAATAGATGGATTATAGATTATTCTGCTAGTTTATTTTAGTGGCATTCTGTTGTTTTCTCTGTTTTACTTGGATTAATAAATGCCCTCGATAACACTCTTATTTATGAAGGCATGCAACTGAGGAAAGTTGTTAATAAATACCCCTAGATCCTTCTAATAACAATAGTTTTGTGTTTTTTGGATTAATGACTCCTGTTGTAAGGGTTTCATGTGACAAGATGAAGCTATGAAGAACAGGAGGATATATAAATTGATATTGATGTACTACTTCTGAAAAGAAATTGCGTATACTTGCTTTTGTCGTACAAATCGGTAACTGAACTCCAAAATTTCAGGTGCCTTACTTGAGTAATATACGTTGACACATGTATTATCATGTGCTCATCAAGCAGAATACTTATATGGCTATTTTAAAATGCTCACTAGTATTTAATGTTTTTAAATGTTAATTTCTTTATCTGTGCTAAATATTCATCATTGAACAAGATTCTTATGTGATCTGCTTGATGATCTGATAATCTCTGTTTGAAAATGCACTGTGGTGCTTCAGTTGGAAAGCACATGAAATTGAAGTGAAATGTTTAGCAAATGTGTCTTTTTCTCTGATAATTATCTTTTTTCTTTTTTGGCTGAATACATCAGGCATCACTTAAGATACTGAAAGTTGAAGAGAAGCTATCCAAAGGATGGGGTGGTGAGAATGCATATCACGTTAGTGGGTACCGCTACTTACTAGTAGACGGTGATAGAAATATATCCAGGGCTTCTCCAGCAACAAAAGTTACAACTTTAACAAAGGTGTGGTGTTGACATCTGGCTGTGTTCTGATTTCCTTTTCGAACTATTTTTAATCAATGTGATGTTAGTTTTATTAACTGAAATATATAACTTGTTATTCATGCCTTTGATGACATTGTTTTGTGTTTGGCACTATAATGTACCTGTGAGATGAGTCACTTGCAAATATTTTAAACTTTGGTTCGTTTGTGCCTGGTGCAGGAGTCCTTACTTGCTATGAATAAGCTAAGGCAAGAGGTGGAGTTGGAAAAGAATAGAGCGAAACTGGATAGCTGTAATGTTGAAAAAGATTTAGAAATGTGCGTTAGAGCAAAAAATAATGCATGGGTTATTTCTCGAGTCACAAGAGGGAAGGAACTTTACATGGTTCTAGAGAAAGCCAATGAAACCCTCCTATATGCCTCAGATGCTGTTGAGAAGTTTAGCGACAGGTATGCTATTGGTTTCCTATCTTTAGTATACATAATAGTGAACTTCCTATGCTCAAAGCTTCTATCCTTATTGAGAAAATATTTTTTGTTTTCATTTTATGTTTTCAATTTTATTCACAATAATGTCACTGGTTCTTTATTGAAAGCAGTGAAAACAATTTTGTAGACGTAATTTCTAAGCTTAAAATCATTAATATAATTCAAACAATTTTAAATTTGAAGCTCTTATTTTAATTTTAAATTAGAGTTTAAGCTCAATATCAATATACTAGCATCCGATCTTTTGAATTTCAATTAATATTTTTATTACCTGTATGAGAAATATTCTTCGCTGGTATTATTTTTCATTTTCTGCTTGATATTCATATGCCAGATTATGTTAAGTTTGGAAATAATAACGAATTCTTCTAAACCAAACTTGGCATATCTGAGCATCCCAAAACCGGCAGAAAACACAAATTGTAATTTTCTTTCTTGGTTGAGCATGGCAGGTACTGCGATGGAACATTTTCACTGGACTAAAGAAAACCAAGCATGTGGAGCCCGGAAATAGCACGCGAGGACTTCTAACTTGTTTTCCGCAATAAGGTCAGAGGATGTTTTCCACTGTTGAATTTTCTCACCAGTAAATTCAAGAAAGGAAGAAAGAATACTGCCGTGTGTATATCTCTATGTATATTTAAGTGTAATTCGTTTATACTTGTTTGAGGGTGCTAAATCAAATCTTGGTACCCTTAACTCTTTTTTTAATCCGAAATTTCTTCAATTCCCAGAAGAATTGTTTTGCGTGAAGTTCTCAAAATCTTTTTTATTTTATATCAATCATTGGATATCAAAAGCCAAACACAATATAGGTATCTATTGTAAGTGCTAATAATATGAGAAGCAAGGTAGCAATAATTATTTTTTGGATAACCAAGATGATATTGTTTGGATGAGAGGAAATTTGTTTTAGCAGTTAGCAGGTGAATTTGAGCTGGCCTGGTTGCGTTTGAGAAATGTTAGCGAGATTCTCCGACACGCTTTCTTAGAAATTCTTTTTATTATTGATTGGAAGATCGATTACTATTTTGGTTTATTGAAGGCGACTCTACAGTTCCATTGGCAAGGGCGGGGCTCGGGGCTTGTACCTCTAGCGTTTCTTTGAATTTACTCAGAATAACTACTCAGGAAAATTCAATTAACTTTAAGGGTGAAATCGAAGACTTGAAATAAAAGTCATATCAACTATGGTTGAGTTGAGACATGCTTTTCTTTGTTTGGCACCATATTCTAAGGGGCACTACTTCCGGTTCAACCTCCTCGCTGGTAAAATTACACAAGTAAAATCCTATTTTATGCTTCTCCTTATTCCTGAAGATAACGAAGAGTTTGAAGATAAAATCCTTGTGCTCTCGAATTTTCTTTTTCTTTTTTCCCCTTGCGTTGTTACCTATTTAGTTATTATTTATGTTTATGAAGCATAATAGGTTTCAACCGTGAGAAACTTGATTGCAGTGGGAACGTCGTTGTCAAGCTTCCAAATGAGTTGCCATGTATCTCGAACGACTTGACCCTTCTTCAGGCGAGTGTGTTTAGTGGGATAGTGAGGAACATAAGAAACGGGATATATCATGTACATAAATTATCTACCTGTTTTTTCATGTTTCTACGCATTAAATTATCAACTGTAAAAAAATTATACAAATAATCTTTTACATTATAAAAGTCAAGACAAAATATTTCAAATTAGCCTGTAAATGTCAGTAAAAAATATCAATTTTATGGAGAGTACGTTAATAAATATTTACAGCTAAAAGTTGTAAGAATTGCAATTTCAGCTTTATAAGTAAATATAAAAATAATAATTGGATGGACTATAATGTAATGGATAATTTATAATGCATCATAATTACGGCAAATGCAACAATGGAGAATACAAGTGAACTATACATTTTAAAAACTATTTCATACAAACATTAGATGTACACGTTAATAGGTACATGAAACATCAGAAAATTAGTTCCATAGTTCAGGGGCGCGTCCTCATCAAAATTCCAACTACATCCTCCGCCAATGTCTAAAACAAATAAATTTCAAAGGCCAGACAGAATGTCTACATATACGGTTGTCAAGAATTTCAAGATATAACGAAAAGGCAAATACTGGAGAGCCATTTGCTTTTACAAGTTGATAATCTCATTTGGGGTTCCTAAGAACAATGATGACAGAATCTCCACGGAGGAACATTTTGCTGATGAATCTATCCTTGTTCACTGGTTGTGCCTTCTTCTTTCCTTTACCAGTCTTGGGCACCTGATTGTTCACAGCGATTATTTTGAGTAACAAATGCCAGTGAAGTAAATTTAAAAGAAGAAACCATACCTCAGTCCACATCTCCCTGACATTTTCAAGAACCATGTTGCAGTGCCTGTCGAAAGCTCGTACACGACCAAGAAGCTTTTTGTTATTCCGACAATTTATCAATACCTTCATAAGTTGAGTTAGAAGGTTAACTCAAACCATCAATAAACATCATCAAAACAGTATATCATTAAAATGAACATATACCTGGGTATTATTTTTCACACTCATCATGAGTACAGAAAGTGGTCCAGTGTTGAACTCTTCTTCCTCATTCTTACCCGCAGTCTGCAAAAAAAGGTATTTTAAATTGGCAAAGATAGTAAAGCATACTAAGTCTAAAGCTACTCAAAATATAAAAAACCATGAACATTACAGCATGAAAGCCAATTTCATGCAATATGTGACAAGAATAATTCCCAAACACTAAATACTGCTTGATCTATATTATCATCTTAAATAATAAATTCATAGGGAAAGTTGACTACTTAAATTTAAAGCTTCAAAATGTGACCGATTAACTTTTTACTTGTTGACAACAGACATGAAAATTAGAAAAATAAACGGACACAATATCTTAATAAACCCCTTTGCCTAGCTAGTCTGGTTAGGGGGATAAATATATCAAAACAAATATTCAATTTGAATTAATAGTTAAATAAAAATAATCAAAACCAAAATTACGCATTGTATACATATGAAAAACAAGCACAACAATATTATAGTTCAAAGATCTTATAAGCATATTAGCAAACTTCTATAATGGTAAAAAGAACTTACATCTTCCTCCATTGGCCGGCTTGAGTAAGAGAAAAAAGGAAAAGAAAACCAAATAAATGTGAGTAGAAAAGAAATGTGAAATTTTGCAGTAATAGTAATAACGATGATGCCAATGGCATTCACCGGGTCAAGAGTTAGGGATACAGTACCTCATTTTGGAAGGGAGGGCAGTTGAGAAACTTTTCAAACTACGTCAAAACTGAAATAAAAGAAAAATATCCAAATCAAAATGGGTAACAAACAAAAAACACTAGATAAATAGCAGAAAAAAAAAAAACTACAAAAGAAAACATTAACAAGCCTTTTTGCAAAATAAGAATTGTTGTAACAGAATAACAATAAAAACAATAGTAAGTCTCTTCAAGTAATAAGAAATGTTGCAACAGAATAACATGAAAAACATTAGCAAGCCTCTTCAGTTCAGGTCTCCATTTATTTTCCTCATGGACAACTCGGATAGTTTATTTTTATGTTCATCCTCAGAGGCTAATTTGACTGATTCCAACTACCAAGGAAGCGGTAATACTTCAGAATTACTACAAGGTTTATTTTTCATTAAGTAAAAAAAAAAAAAATACTATTCTATGCAAAAAATCATTAAAACATCAAACATTAAAAGCCTCTTCAGTTCAGGTCTCCATATATTTTCCTCATAGGAAACTCGGAAGAACGAAAGTTATATTTTTCATCATCCTCAGAGGCTTCATATCGCAGGTAAAAAACTACAAAATGACATGACAAACAATGTACATAAATGAAACTGGGAGCAAAACAAATTATCCTATTCTGACAGGATTAATTAAAAACAGGTGAATATTGTGCACAAAAGACAGACCAAACTCAAACGGTCTGATAGGGAATTTGAAGACAGATATTAGAAAGCCTCTTGTGTTCAGGTTTCCATAAATTTTCATCATAGAAAACTCAGTAGAAATAAAGTTATATTTATCGGTCCAAATTATAAGGAATATATTAAACTTGATCCATAAATTAAACGTGAGCAAACAAGAAACTACCCTCTACTCTACTCTACAGTAAAGTTTTATTAAAACAACTGAATATTGTGAGAAAAAAACAGATCAACCCTCAACATTCCAGAGAGTGAATATACAGACATACAATAAGAAGGTCTCTTCAGTTCAGGTCTCCAGTATATTCCGCATGGAAATCTCGGAAGAACGAAAGTATTTTTTCATCATCCTCAGAGACTTTTTGACTGGTTTAGTCACTACAGGAAAGGTTATGTACACCAATCGATGAAATTAAGATAACAGCAGAGAGAAATGAAAAAAAAAACTCACTAAATTAAAAAAACAAAAATGCATAACCAAAACCATGACGCTTTATGTGAAAATTTTAGCACAAACCATTAAATGATGGGAAATGATTCTCCAAATCCCCAAGAACCGACGGAGATAAATATCTCAAAAACCCTAAAAATCTCAAGCCCGGGAATTAAAGTACATGAAGAAGCACAGTTTTTTTTTTCGAAATCGAATGCAAAATAAACAGAAATAATGAAGCACAAACAGTTAGAAAAACGATAAATTTAACTGAATAAGATCCTCATCGAAGACAGAAGCATGTCCAGAATCAAATGCGAAACAAACAAAATTCAGACAAAAAAGCAGATATCTCGAAGAAAACAAGAAGAGAAACGAAAACAACGTACCTAGATTCAGAGAACGATGAAGATCTGAAGGTGCAAAGTGAGCAGCACACTCAGTTCATTTTATACTGAACTCGATAAACCCTAATTTTATTCCCTCTATTTTTTGGGGGTTTCAGTTCAAAAACCAAACATGGTTGGGTAGGCCCATTTTCTTTCGGCCCGCTTTATTGCGTGATTATTTGAACTTGTTTCTTTTAACAGAACACTTTAATGCCGAAGATAAAGTAAACAAAATTGACGAATAAATTTAATTGAAATTATCTAATTTTAAAACAACGCATTTTTTAAATTATAATATTAAAAATATATTATTTTTTATAATATTATATTTTTTACATTATGAATATGGAAAACTATTAATATTAATTATTTATTTTTCATTATTAATGATTAAAATTACTTCTTTTGTATTCATATTAAAGGAGTCGAATCCTTGATTGTTGATTTTATAACTTTTTATTATTTTTAATATTCATTTGTCAAAATATATATTAGATTAATTATTGTGTTCATAAAAATGCTCTAACTGTAAGCAATTCGTGAATTTGGTTTAATTGTCTAATTATTGAGAGTTTTAATAATATTTTTTTATGTTCTGTATTATGGTTTAAATTTACAACATTGAGTTTTATTATTTTTATTAGCGAGTTCACCTCAAATCATTTGCAGGTTTTGTTTTTCGTCTAATGTTTGTCTAATGCATGTTTTATGTCAAAATTTAGAACATTGATTAGTCAATCTTGACATTTTCTTTGTGGAATCTTTTTCATGGTTATTTGAATGTGTTCTATAACTATATTAAAATGTGTCAAGTTTATATATTTACTATTTTTTCTTAAAAATACTAATAAATTATGGTAAACAATGCTTTCTTTGCAAAGATGTTGTGTTACAATAGACAATGAAGTATCACAGGGATTGAGAATTAAACTATGGTTAATTGTTCATCAATGTTAATATAAAAAATGAAATTTACCATTTTATTGTCAATTATTTATACATAATCACTCAGAAAAAAAATACTTATGTACGAATTAATAATATTTTTAAAATTATACAAATAATTTATATAAATTAACTTATACATATATTATTTTTAATTTATGAAAAATTCATATCAATTCTCTTTTTATTTTTCCATCTTAGAAATGCTTATAGAAAAAATCAGGTAGAATCTCCGTCAAAATTATCTTTCAAGTGGGTCTATGTTAGAGTTATCATCAAAGGAGGATGATACAGCACGTACCTTTCAACTTCTAGATAGCAATTACTTATAGATTGAATTTAGCACCCTTAAAGAATTGATTTACTTAAAAGAGTACCTAAATTAGCTACATAATTTGCAAATTAGATTAGGTGGCAAGTGCTGTCTTTCCAAGTGAGAAATAAAGTAACATCAAATTCTTTATTCAAAAGATCAAGCATTACATGATCCTCCTTTGTCATAACCTATGCTGGTTCAGTGAAAAAGGATGACATAAACTACGCACGAAGACCTTAAAAAAATTGTTTCCAGCTAGAGTACAACCAAATTGTTGAAAAGATGCTCGGACTAGTTAAATCTCTCAAAAGAAATGAATAACCTCATTAAACTAGCAGATACAAAACTGTTTGTAAAGAAGCATAATGTTTAAGTACCACATCCTTGAAAAAGTAGAACTCATAGCAACATCTCAGCAATCTGGATAGCGTTAAGTGCAGCTCCCTTGCGAATTTGATCCCCACATACAAAGATGTCCAATCTGTGTATATATATATGCATGATTTATGTAAAATGCTCGTGAGAAAGAACAATGGTAATTAAAAATTGAAAACTGCCATGGAAGAGATTTACCCTTGATTCCCATCCTGAGACAGGTCCTGGCGAATCCTACCAACAGCAACATCATCCTTATTCGACACTTCCAATGGAGTAGGAAAATGATTGGACTCACGATCATCAATAACCACTACACCTGGAGCATTCTTCAGAATATCTCTTGCAGTGTCCTGAAGAAATTAAAAAATAAATGAACTCATACATGAGATTGACTTTTGGAGAAGTTCTCTCACTGCATTTCATTTTGTTCCCAATATAACCATGATTTTGGGCATGCAAAGGAAGACAAGTCCCTGCATGTTCCAACGCGGAATATATCTATGAAAAAACAGAGACAAAGATCCTCTAGATATGACAAAATGCAAAAACCAACACGTTAAAGTCAAGTTAACCATTACGAAAGGAATGATCATTTCTGGTAAATGACTTTTGTGCTGTAAGAACATAATAATGCTTAGTTTTGATATTTTTCTTTACCCACCGTCAGAAAGCCCGAGTGCATTGTGTTACACTGGACTAATCTATTAATTGTAAAACCAAAGATAAATAAACAAAATTAGATCCTTAATGATAACCAATAACATGCGAGTTCTATAGGAAGTTGAGCTATCACAGTTGCTTATCTTCTATTTAATCCAAACTTTACCTGTATTATTATCCTATACATATGTGATATTGATATATGATGATCCTATATCTAATATGGTTAAAATTTTAGTCATACAGAATAATTTTGAGATAAAGTTCAATCAAGTTATAATCCTAAAACTAATTCTAGCAGCCCCAGTACATGACATACTTCAGGTTTCAAAAGCCTTTGTGGAGTAAATGCTAATCAATTTACGTCAAACAGCAGTCATCCTTTGATATTTTCAAGAATGAACTCAAGGCAGATGTCAGTTGTGGGATAGTTCTCAAGTCTGATCTTAGCCTCTTAGGTCAATTATAGAGGCAACTAAATGCCAGAAAAACAGGGGAATTACTAGTCATTGGTAGGCAAACTTCTATAAAGTATATCAAACAATTTTAGCAAAAAAAAAAATGATTAAATGAATAACATGCAAGGAACTTTTATGTGCAGACAGGTAACAATGAAAAGTTTGAACCAACTCCTCAAGCAACTGTCAAAACCTCCAACCACTAAACCTACCTCAATGGGTTACTTAAGGTGCATGTAATGCCATATCAATTCAAATCCAACATATTAAACACTGAAGAATACAAATTCCATTCCATTAAAATTTTGAGGGATGAACTTGAATCCAATATATTTAATGGATCTGGGATACAATTATGTACTCAGTTTTGGTACCATAAAGATGTCAACTGAGTTTTGGCAAAGGCGTAATGACACAGCATGACAACATGAAGTACCTCATTAAGTGGTTTTTCAAATTGAAGATTAACACTCTCAGCATGAGCCCGCATGACAGGAACTCGTATGCATGTGGCAGTTACTTTAATGTCCTTGTCATTCTGCAAAAGTGTAAGAAAAATATAAGGCAGTACCCTATTATGTGAAATAAAAATCTATAAGCCTAATAAACAACTTATAAAGATTCAATTTCAGCTTACCCAGATTTTCCTCGTCTCCTTGACCATTTTCATTTCTTCTTCATTGTATCCATTTGAAAGAACAGATGCATTATGCGAGAATAGATTAAAAGCATACTGCAAAGCATCAACACCATCAGGAAGTAATTCTGGGAACTTCAATCACAAGAAATACATATACAGAATTGTGCTAACCTGTCGATTAAATATTTTACAAGTGGGTGGTTTTCCTTCCAACACCTTAAATCCAAAAGGCCAAAAAAAAATCACGATTAAAGATCATAAATGAAACCACTTTCTCCTTCACACAATGGTAGAGTTGAAACCAAGCTATTAAACTATACAGAAAAAGCTCATAACCCAACCTCACGAGTTTGCAGCTCGAGCTCTTCCATTGCAGCAGCACCAGCACCACTCGCAGCCTGATAGGTACTGACAACCATTCGTAACACCTGCAATATTCAAAGCAGAAAAGCATCATATCACAAAGCACACAAATAGATAACATATAAATCTGTATTATATAAAAACTAGTATTCTTTCTCGAAGTTTTTAATACATGTTTGATTAAATTCATAATAAATAAATACTTTTATCAAAAGATCACTTTTACCACCAACAATAAAATTTCAAAAAATTATTGATAATCAAGAATATTCTCATCGGAGTAATCTAAATTATAACATAAGAGTAGATTGAAAAGGCAAAGTTTGACCTTAGCTTGTCGATGAAGAGGGGTAGCGGCCATCAAACAAATAATGGTGGAGCAATTAGGGTTCGCAATGAGAGCGCCTTTGCCACTTCCGGCTTTGATATGTTGCATCGCCTCGGGGTTCACTTCAGGAATCACCAGCGGCACCTTCTCGTCCATTCGAAACGCGGAGCTATTGTCCACCACCACCGTCCCGCAATCCACCGCGACGGGGCCAAACTTCTTGCTGATGGAGCCGCCGGCGCTGAAGAGCGCGATGTCAACGTCATTGAAGCTGTCCGCCGTGAGCTCCTCCACGACGTAGCCCCTGTCCTCGAAGGTGATGCGGCGGCCGGCGGAGCGCTGCGAGGCCAGCATTTTGATGGAGCGGTAGGGGAAGTCGCGGTCGGAGAGGACAGATAGGAACTCCTGGCCGACGGCGCCGGTGACGCCCACGACGGCGATGGAGGGCCCGTTTTCGCGGAGGGACATTCGGACCCTGGTGGGTCCCGATATGGGCTTGGAGCGGGCCGGAATGGAGCCCGATAAGAGATGGCTGTGGCGCGAAACGGAGAGTGAAGCCATCACGTGGTTGGCGTGGGTGAGATTTTTAGGGTGAGAAATAGAAACAGAAAAAGCGAGGGTTTTAATGTACTGCCGTTCTTCTTGTGTCGGCGGCTGATGCAGTGAGTAAAGTAGCTTTGGTGTTCTAATTTTTCTTCTTCTTCTATTTTTTCTTTTTCATAAACAAACCATATCAAAATCTATCTTTTTTTTAGTTACACAGGTTTTCACAAGTTCCAACGACTTTGTTTTGTTGGATAAAAAATAAAAGCTTGAATTTATATTCAAATACTTTCTTTCTTCACATTGAGCCAACTTGTTTTATTATAAATGACGTCACCACGTGCAAAATATGAGCATCCATATTTGTGTGAGAAATACTCAATGAACATCTTCCCAAAATTGGTGTTTTCAATTTTGATGACAATGCACGTTATGATGACTGATTTTCAAACTAGTCCATTTTTTAGAATTTACATCTCAACAGACGAAATAAGAACGTCACTAAATACCTCTCATAAAACTTCATTGCAAGAGACGTGCAATTTGAAATTCATCATAATATGTCAATTAGTCTTGATGATGATAATAATGATAAAATAATAATAATAAATTTCAAAGTTAAAAAAAAATTAATTTTAAAATTAAAATATATATTTTTAAATTAACTTCTAATTCACATTGTTATTCTTTTATTTCAAGCAAATTTTATATATTATTGTTAAAATATAATTTAATTTTTTATATTGTAATAAAATAAAATTTATTATATATATAAACTAAATTGTTGGATTGATAACACACGAGTATCTTCACCAGAATAATTTCTACGTATAAAATATAAATTATAAATTTATGGTATAATAGTTAAGTAACCGTGAATTTGTTCTCATTTTTTTTTCTAAGAAATTTTTAAAAAATTATTGTCTTTTACTTGTGAGTTGTTTTGTAAAACAATGGGTAAACAATTCTAAGCAACTTCGACTTATCGTTTAAACAATGGGTAAATAATTCATATAAATTATTTTTCAAATTTAAAAACATAAAATTGAAACTTATTGTATATATTTTTTAATCAATTCAAAGTTAATTTTTTAAAATTTCAAAAAACTTATATTTTTTAAATTATTTGATAAATATAAAAATGTATAAGATTCTTCTAATAAAAAATAAAATAAAAATTCGAAGTAATTAGTGTTTCAATTAAATATTTGAAATATTTGAATGTGAAAATTAAATATTATTTATTAGCATTAATTAATTAAATTTAAAAAAGTTATACACAAGAAAAAGAAAAAAGAAAAAACTCAAGCATTGCATAGGATGTTTCAAAACAGAAATACAGTACTGATAAATTATTGATTTATTGAAAAATAATAGTCACGAGAAAGTAGATTATTTATGTGCATAGCATCAAGACTTTGTTTGGATTTCAGCGGCACATTGGCAAGCTCAGACACATTCAGTGGATTTCACGCATGGCTGTCCCCGAACACAGAATAAGCTTGGAACCTGAGAAAAAAACCCTTCTCAACCTCCACACCGAGAAGCACTTCACCGCCGGCGAAATAGTCCGCGACGTCATCATCGGGGTTTCTGACGGTCTCACCGTCCCATTCGCCCTTGCCGCCGGTCTCTCCGGCGCCAATGCCACTTCCTCCATCGTTCTCACAGCCGGCATAGCGGAAGTCGTCGCCGGCGCCATCTCCATGGGGCTCGGCGGGTACGTTCAATCAAACTCTTCACCCTCACAAAACTTAATTTAAATTCCGTTATCATTTCACGTAGCTCAGAAATTTTTCTCATGGAGCGAAACGGGCTAATGTTTCATTGTGTAGTTATTTGGCAGCGAAGAGTGAAACTGACCATTACGCGAGAGAATTGAAAAGAGAGCAAGAAGAAATCATCGCCGTGCCAGAAACTGGTTTCCACTGTTATTCTATCATGCTTTTATGTTATTTTTATTTTTGTAATATTCTCGTATAGTTTAATGTTCATGCAGCATTATTTTATATCATCAACAAGTGAGAAATTTCACATATAGAATCATTTCCATTTTTACGAATTAAGAATTCATTCCTATAGACATTCACTTGATATAAATTTCTGTGAAATGAGTTTTAAAAATCATTGCTGAACATTCTTCATTTCCATCGAAGAAGTAATAAATATGTCTTTTGTGGGGGGAAAAAAACAGAAGCGGCAGAGGTAGCAGAAATACTGGCTCAGTACGGGGTAGAGGCACATGAATATGCACCTGTGGTGAATGCTCTGAGAAAAAACCCTCAAGCATGGGTTGATTTCATGATGAAGTAAGTTCTTACGTTTATGGTGAAACCTGGTTGTTTGTTTATTTGTTGAAAGATGTCCTCATTTTGGGGTTTATGATGGGCTATTATACAGTGAATGTGGTATTAGGACAAGTTAAAAAGAGAGTGATGACCACACAATAATGGGAATTTGTTGGCAAGTTGAAAAGTAGCACCACCCAAAGGAATATAAAGCAAAGTAAAAGCCTTTCACTTTTTGAATGTGGGGATGGTTTGGGTCCAAAATCTGAGCACGCGCCATCCAGTTTTGGACAAATTAAGGGTTACCACTTCCTTTTAATTGGCATGTTTGGACAGTGTGATAACTGGGAAAGGGGACAGCCTTGTAGGGTCTCTACTTACTACAACTTGGACATCTTTTTCTGGTTTTGTTTTTAGTATACAACTGGGTTATCTAAATTACACCATTTCTAATTTGGATGAGTTTGACAACCACTTTGCATAATGGTGGTTAAAATTGTGCTTAAAACTATTTCTTCATAATTGTTAAAAAAGATATTCAAAGTGTAGTAATGCATTCAATGTAGAGTGTCTGGTTATGACTTTTTGTAGACAAAATATTATGGCACAATTGTTGTGTTTAAAATCATTTAAAGAATTAATTTAGTATGATTTTGAAATAAAATCCGTCAAATATCTATATACTGAACCAGAAAAAGATTGTGTTTATGTTTATATAATTTGAAACTGCACTTTTTGTTGTTTTTAAAATAGCAACTTCTTATCCCCAAATAGAGAAATATACTGCCTAGTTGCATTCAACCTGAGGTTTGGGCATACAGTTTATATACATTCACCTGTTTCTTGTTTTTAAATGTGATGAATATTGTCATTATCAAAGTAAAATTTAAAGTAGGTATTAATAGATTTTTATTATTCTTTAAAATAAATAAAAAAGTTCAAATAATTATAATTAAAATATTATTAATACTTAATATTTTATCATGTCTTTATTTTATATATATATATATATATATATATATATATATATATATAATATAAAAATACATGAATAAAATATAAAGATATACTGATAGATACATTCTACTACATCATATATAAAAAATACATAGATAAACCCTGAAATTTCTCATAAAAAGGTGACTTTGGAAATGTTAGTGTCAAACAAATTAATTGTTTATCTTCTTGTGGTGACAGATTTGAGCTGGGACTAGAGAAGCCAGATCCAAGGAGAGCATTGCATAGTGCAATGACAATTGCCATTGCTTACATAATGGGTGGGGCTGTTCCTCTGGTTCCTTACATGTTCATTCCAAGGGCTGCAGAGGCAGTTGTGTTTTCAGTCGTGGTTACCTTGCTTGCATTGCTGCTTTTTGGTTATGCCAAGGGCCACTTCACGGGCAATAAACCATTCAGGAGTGCTTTGGAAACAGCTCTGATCGGTGCCATAGCCTCTGCAGCTGCTTTTGCTTTGGCCAAGGCTTTCCATCCGTAGATTCTTCATGCTCTCTCTGTACTTCATGCCAACTAAGTTTCTTCTAAGAACTTTGCTATTCTCCCTCAAAAAAGAAAGGAGTTTTCTTTTCAACTTCTTTGCTGTTGCTTGTTCATTGTTACATATTTTCATGCGACTACAACCCCTTTTATTAAAACTGTAGTTTGGAATATCTTACAATAGAACTGTCTCTGTTGTTGATCTTTAGTTGTATATTGAAAAAAAAAAAAAATCTTGTTTTCTTTGCATTTTCGGTTAAATTTATTGGTTTCTGTGTTTTTAAATTGAAGCCTTTAATCCGCGATTTTTTTGAACAACCATGAATTTAGTCTCCCTAACAAATAGTTTTCTTTTTTGGTTTAACAAATATTTGTTTTGGTGATGGTTTAAAATCCCAAACAATTGTGTTGGAAGTTGTTTAATCTTACACCTAATTACATATTTTACTAATATTCATTTTGTAAATTTAGTCACACAATTATTTTCGTATTTTATTATCAATTTATAAAGGAGATGTAATATGTCATAAAATTGTAAATTAAAATTGTTTTGCAAAAATTAATGACAATACGTCGTGGTTTTAGTTTCTTTTTATTATATGTGATCATTTTACTAGAAATTTAAGAATTTGATAAAATACATAATTTGAGAAGTTTGATTGATACTATAATATACTATATTGAATATTTTTCATCTCAAAAAATTTTGGATGATATTACTTGATTAAGGTAATGTAAATACTTTGTAACATTTATATAAAAAAAAAAGTAGAATAATTAATTTATGAAAAACCTTGTTAACAATTTTATATATTTTTATTGATTTGAACGTGTCGTTGTACACATAAGAATCGGATACCGAGAATTGAAAATTATACATTGATAATTTTAGAATAACGACCGAATTCTATAAGAACTAATTGGATTGAATGATATTCGTGTTTGAACTTGAAATAACATTTATCTATAAATTTGATATGATAAATATGTCTAGTGTTAAACATAATATTTTGTTGATCAAACATTACAAACAAAGAAGCCATGGCCACACACTTTTGGACTGCTTTCAAGCTTGTGCGTCTATCGTACTCAAGAAAGTTTGTTCGAGTGAAGAATGGTGAGTTCATATTCTTTATTTTTCTTAGCTTGTGGAGCATTCATCAGTTTAATGAACTTGTAATTTCTGGGTTGTTGATTTTTCATTGGGATAGACACGTTTTGTCTTGTTTTGATGGAATGGTTAGTCAAATAGATCTTTTGAGTGTTTTAACTTGGTTAGATTATCACCTTGAAGTGGTGCTCGATTGTAACTTTTTGATATCCATCTTCACTTGACATTGGTCAAAGATCACCAATAAATGCAATGCAAGTTTTGTGGGTTTTAAACAACTATAAATAGTTTGTTAGCAAACTAATTGTCATAATAACATAGCTACTAATGAAGTTAGTAGAGAGGGACCAATAGCTTTTAAATATTTAGACTTGGATATTACGAGTTTATATCTTCTAATACAGCATTTTCTTTTTCATACATGTAGACTTCGTATTAACCTTTTTAGTCACATAGTAATGTTTTACTCTTAAATATGTAACTTATTATTTATATTTATAAAAAAAATATTTTTACTCTTAAATATGAAACTTATTATTTATATTTATAAAAAATATAATACTAATTAAGTAATGTAAATTAAGGTTTTTTTTATATTTTTATGGAATTATTGAAGATTTTCAACAATAAAAGTCAATCATATAAAAAAGAATATAATATTACCTTTAAAATAAAATCTTAAAATATTAAGTTATAAATTTTTCTCTTTTACAAGTTAATCAATTCTTTCATTTTTACTCAATCTTACTTAAATTTCTAACAATTTATCCAGTAGTAATTTTATTTGTATCACCGTTTAATTAGACTTTTAATCGAGTTGGTTTCTACACAAGTTTTGATATTATTGTCAGGTATTTTTAAAAAAGATTAACTAAATAGGAGAATTTAACAATGGAATATAAATCTATCATATAAAAGAATATAATATCACCTTCAACCTTAAGACATTAAATTATAAATTTTTTTACTTATAATTTATCTAACTTTCCTATTTTTACTCAACGTGGAATTTCAACTCATTTTAATTCCCAACAATTCTATAAATAAATAAATTACACAAGGATAATTAAGTGTATGTTTATGGATTTTATTTGGTGATCCGTTAAGAGAAATTAGTTCCTTGAATGGATTATACTTTGATAAATTGGTGTATGCTTCTTGATATGGAAAAATACTAACCTTTAGAAATATGAGTGGAAAATGTTGGCAAAATTTAGGTCATGTATATATATGATACATAATTTAAATGTGTTACGACCATTATTTATTAAGCCAAATAATAAAGTGATCTGACTAAATTAAAGTTTTGGCTAAAAGCATATGTCATGAAAATAAAATTATGTAGAGACCATTGAGCAATTTCTAATTTGATGAGGGACCAAATTAGAAATACTAAAACTTAAGTAATTAACCTAATTCTGGTTATCTAAAGGGTCATGGTCCCCTTCTGAGAGCACATAAACAGAACGTAAGTTTCATTCCTGTTCATTTCTTTCTATCCCCATCAAGAGAGAAAATCAAGAGGGAAATAAAGGTGTTCTTCAGGTGGAAGACCATAAGATCAATACAGTGCTCTATAAAGACATCATCATCATTATGACTAATTCAGGTACGCTTTCGCATTCAGTTTACAACATGTTTATCAGTATGGGATTACGTTTATGTTTGATCGTTAGAATCAAAATTAGGATTATTATTATTAATAATTTTCCAACAATTGGTATCAGAGCCGCCCATATTTGATTCATGTCTGTTTAATTTATAAAACCCTAATTATGAAAATTAGGATTAATTTTGTTTTAAACAATTCAAATTACCCAATTTTATGAACCCTAAGTAGAGAATAATCTCTAATTTTCGTGAACCCTAAAATTTAAATTTGGGGGGTAACATCCCCAATCTGATTTTGCTTGTTGATGGAACCGTGGAGGAAGCTATGGATTCTTCTTCTTCGTTTTTCCCTTTTATTTCGGTTTAAGTTTCAAGTTTTACTGAGAAAGAAATAGTGTTTCAAATTTCAATATTTCTTGTATTGGGTTCTCTGTTCTTTTTTGAATCTTTTGTTTTTATTTAATTTTATGGGTTTGGAATTGGGGGTGGTGTTTGTGGAGTTTCCAACACAGAGAATCTTAGGTAAATGGTGAATGTTTCCACAAGTGTGACTGTTCTTATTTTATTGCCTTTAGAAAAATTTGATGTTAAATTCTCCTGCTTAGGATTTGAGTGATTACTGTTTAATCCCCTTTTAGGGTTTAGAGCAGTATGCTAAAGAGACTCAGAACTATCTCTGTTTCATCCCTAGTGTGATTTTAGAGAGATGTTCATCCTTTATGTATTAGTGGAAAATGAGGCATTTTTTCATCCTTTGATTTGTTCAAATGAGGTATCCCTAATGAGATTCTAGGGAGGTGTTCATCCTTAGTAGAATTCTAATGAGGTAATTCTGTTTTGAATTAGTTTGCAAATATTAAATATTTGGTTTTGTTATATAAATAAAATATTCAATTTTTTGGTAGTTTAATATTTTTTGTGAGCAAATTGAGTCAAGAAGTCACCAAAGTAACCTCTCTTGAATTTGGCAGTTCATGAAAAATATTGAATGTTAGTGTTTGTGTATATTCATGCGAGTATTAGTCGGCCCAAAGGAAGATTAATATTTGGCCAAATTGCATACACACTTGTAATGATAAACATGTGATAATTATAAGGATTTACTTTGTCGATGATAAATCAATCCAAAGACTGGTTTGTTGTTGGACGTGCTTTATTGTCAATGTTTGATTATTACAACAAGATATCTCTAGCAGTTAATATTACTGTCCAAAGACTTGATATTGATGGTGCATTGGGTGTCTTGAGATGGGTTAAACCACTATTTGAATATATTTTATTTATTTTTTATATAATGTGAGCATAATTAGTTTATTTCTCGTGTTCTAAATTCAGCTACAATTGCTTCTGTATCTGCCAATTTAAATTCTGTTTCAGTCCTCAATGGAACAAATTTTAAGGACTGGAAAGAAAACATTGATATTGTTCTTGGTTGCATGGATATGGATCTTGCGTTAAGGACTGAGCAACCCCCTACTCCTACGGATTCAAGTACCTCTGAACAGAAAAGAGATTATGAGAAGTGGGATCACTCAAATCGCATGAGTCTAATGATCATTAAGCGCGACATCCCGGAGGTGTTTAGGGGCATTGTTTCTGAAAACACCACAAGTGCCAAATAATTTCTTGCTGAAATTGAGCAGCACTTTGCAAAAAGCGATAAGGCGGAGGCAAGCACTCTTCTTCAGAACTTGATCTCCATGAAATATCAAGGCAAAGGAAATATCAGGGAGTACATTATGAGCATGTCTAATATTGTTTTTAAACTCAAGGCACTAAAGCTTGAACTCTCAGAAGATTTGCTCATTCATTTGGTGTTGATTTCTCTTCCTGCAACGTTTAATCAATATAAGGTATCTTACAACTGTTAGAAAGATAAATGGTCTCTTAATGAGCTCATTTCACATTGCGTACAAGAAGAGGAAAGACTAAAGCAAGACAAGACAGAAAGTGCTCATTTTGCAAGCACTTCCAAGGCTAAGGGCAAAAGAAAGAGATCAGAGGATCTCGAGAAAGAAGCTGCTAAGGGTCCAGAACAAAAGAAACAAACTCAAGAAAACAAATGTTTCTTTTGCAATAAGACTGGACACATAAAGAAGAAATGTGATAAATATCATGTTTGGCGTGAAAAGAAAGGGTTGTCTAAACTACCAGAAGTCAATTGATTCTGAAAGATGGATTTATGTTGGAGATGGCAAATCGGTAGAGGTGGAAGCTATAGGACATTTTAAATTGTTATTGAGTACTGATTTTTTATTTGGATTTGAAAGATACTTTTGTTGTGCCGTCATTTAGACAGAATTTGGTTTCAGTTTCTTATTTGGACAAATTATGTTATTTGTGTTCATTTGGAAACAATAAGTTCAGTTTGTCTTTTAATTCAGATATTGTTGGAACTGGTTCACTTTTGATTTATGATAATAAGTATTTACTTGATATTGTGACCACCTATAATGAAACCCTTAATACAGAATCACGTGGTACTAAACGTAAAATTGAAAATACTCATTCAGGTGCATTATGGCACAAGTGCTCAGGTCACAATCAAATCATGACATTTGGGCTTGTGTTACACTCTTAAAGATATGATAGAGAGTATGATTTGTCATTCCACCTTACTGGAATCACTTTGGGGAGAGACACTAAATACGACAACTTATATTCTAAATAGAGTACCAACTAAAGCAGCTACCAAAACACCTTATGAGCTTTGGATTGGGCGACAACTTAGTCTGAAGCATTTCCATGTGTGGGATTGTCCAGCTGAGGCAAGACCTTATAAGTCAAATGAAAAGAAATTGGACTCCCGAACAGTAAGTAGTTATATTATTGGTTATGCTGAAAGATCTAGGGGATATAAATTTTCTGATCCCACATTAAAAACACTTTTTGAGACGGGAACTGCTACGTTTTTTGAGGATATTGAGTTTGGGGGGAAGAATAAGATTAAGAACTTCATCTTTGAGGAAGAATCAGTAACAATTTCAGAACCGATTCAAATAGTTACTTTTGATAAAGTAAGTTCAGAACCTCCACAAGGCATTGTTGATGAACCCCTTACTCAAAATGATTTGGTTGTTCATGAAGAACAAACTCAAGATCCTCAAGAACCTGTGCATCATGAGCTAATAACTTTGTAGAGATCCACTAGAGAAAGAAGAAGTGTTATTTTGGATGATTACATGGTATTTCTTCAGGAACATGAGAAAAATAATGATATAATGGAAGATGACCCAGTTAACTTCCGTTAAGCTATACAAGGTTCTAACTCTCAAAAGTGGATTGAAGCAATAGGATAAGTATAAGTCCATGCCAGACAATAAGGTTATTGGGAACTTGTCCCATTACCAGAAGGTATGAAACTCATTTGGCTTCAAGATGAATATTGTTGATGATTGTAAGTATCACAAGTTTAAAGGGAGACAAGTTTAGTCTCAATCAGTGCCCAAAGGGGAATTTGGAAATTGAGGAAATGCAAAAGATTCCCTATGCATCAGTTGTATGGAGTTTGATCTATGCACAAGTATGTATGCATCCAGAGATAGCATATATAATTGGGGTTCTAGACAGATATTTTAGCAATCCAGGAATAGACCATTGGAAAGCAGCAAAAAGGGTCATAAGATATTTAAAGAGAACAAAAGATTATATGCTCACATACAGGAGGTCAGACCAGTTGGAGATCGCTGGGTTTTCTGACTTAGATTTTGCAAGATGTCAAGAATTTGTAGCATGCTATGAGGCATCAAATCATTGAATATGGCTGAGAAATTTTGTCACAGGGCTACAAATTGTGAAAGACATTGAAAGACCACTTAAGTTATATTGTGACAACAAATCAGCTGTATTGTTAAGGAAAGAGTACAAAGTGGACAAATTTTCATAGAACACTTAAGAAAAAACTCCATGATAGCATATCCTCTAACTAAAGGACTTCCGCCCAAGGTCTTTCATGAACATGTTGCTCACATGGGTGTTTTACAGTTTGAGGAATTTGTGGTTTCGTGGGAGTTAGTCACTTTCATATATTTTATGTTCTATGTTTAATTTCATATATGTATACATTGATTTTTGGACATATTTGGTTATCTATAGATATGCGGTTTTTTCGTTCATTCATTACACTTTGTACATTAAGGATATTATATCGATCTCGATAAGTTAAAGTTTGGACAAGTTGAAAATAGACGTGTACAGATCACTTTCACGTAATTTTTCATGCTACATATTTCATGATGAATCCATGTCATTTGGTTATGTTAGGATGAGTAATCATTGTTGGTTTTAATTGCGATGATGCAATGAAAAGCTGGTTTGATTCTATATCCTGATATGATTAATGGACAGGACTTTTGAAGTATGCTAAAGGAATATAATGACAATTTTGAGCTCATAAAGTCTAACATATTTGTAAGGTTGTAAGGACATATATATCTGTGATCAGTGGGAGATTGTTGGCAAAATTTGGGTCATGTATATATATGATACATAATTTAAATGTGTTAGGACCATTATTTATTAAGCCAAATAATAAAGTGATCTGACTAAATTAAAGTTTTGGCTAAAAGCATATGTCATGAAAATAAAATTGTGTAGAGACCATTGAACAATTTTTAATTTGATGAGGGGCCAAATTAGAAATACTAAAACTTAAGTAATTAACCTAATTCTGGTTATTTAAAGGGTCATGGTCCCCTTCTGAGAGCACATAAACAGAACGTAAGTTTCATCCCTGTTCCTTTCTTTTTATCCCCATCAAGAGAAAAAATCAAGAGAGAAATAAAGGTGCTCTTTAGGTGAAAGACCATAAGATCAATACAGTGCTCTACAAAGACATCATCATCATCATGACTAATTTAGGTACGCTTTCGCATTCAATTTATAACATGTTTATCGGTATGAGATTATGTTTATATTTGATCGTTAGAATCAAAATTAAGATTATTATTATTATTAATTTTCCAACAGAAAAAGAATTTGATAAATTATTCCTTAATGTAACGAGAGAGTAGAGCTATGGCAACAAGCCTTTGTTTGGATTCCAACATTACATCCAGAGGCACTCCCAAATTTAAGATTCAATTATAATATTTATCTTAAATCCGTCAAAACTGGGATAATCTTCTTAATGTTATCATATTTTTGTTTGCCTCAAAATCTATGTACGTTAAATAGCTCATAACTGATTTAAATTATTATTTTCATGTTATAATTATAAAATATAACAACAAAGAAATTTTTCAAATTTTGCATCTAACAAAATAACTGGTTAATTATAAAACATATAATGTAAATTTTGTTCTCATGACAACTAGAATGATTTAGTTTAATTGAAATTAATGGAAAACTTTCCCAACAAACTAATCCATAAACTTCTGACTATAAAGTTACAAGAATAATTTTAAATATTATTTTTAAGTTATAACATCACATTTATTTTTAATAAATTTAATCATCTAATGCTTATTAGTATATTTAAATATCTGAATATAAAGTTACAAGAATAATTTTAAATATTATTTTTAAGTTATAACATCACATTTATTTTTAATAAATTTAATCATCTAATGCTTATTAGTATATTTAAATAAAATATTAGTTATTTGAAGTAATTTTTTATTAAAAGAATCTTATATGATTTCATCAACTAACTTAAAATAAAAAATAAAGGAGGAAAGAAAATAAATTTTTAAAAATTTATTAAAAAAACTTATAAATAAAGTTAATATATCTCTTGGAACTTTCCATAGCTAAAAAGCTAATTATATCTTCGACCTCCAATATTTTACTTATATTAAATATAAAAATAGGATATGTCGTTACACCCAGATGGATATTTCATATACACCAAGAGAGAAAATTCAGATATGCAGGGTGATATTTCACACCAAAACTTAATAGAAGTAGTACTTGCATGGAACTGTATGATAAAAAACTGAAAAGTAGCAAACAATAATAGCAGAGCAGCTGAAAAAAAGACAAGTTCCTGGAAGAAACTGTATGGAGAATCTATGCTTTGAAAGCCTTTGCCATGCCAAAGGCAGCTGCAGAGGCGATGGCACCAATCAGAGCTGTTTCAAAAGCACTCCTGAAAGGCTTATTGCCCGTGAAGTGTCCCTTGGCAAAGCCAAAAATTAGCAGTGCAATCAAAGTAACCACAACTGAGATCACAACTGCCTCTGATGCCCTTGGAATGAACATGTAAGGAGCAAGAGGAACAAGACCACCCATTATGTAAGCAGTGGCAATTGTCATTGCACTATGCAATGCTCTCCTTGGATCTGGCTTCTCTAGTCCCAGCTCAAACCTGTCATGCCATGCTAACAACCAGTTAATTTCTTCATCACTAACATTTCCCATCATGGTTGGTTGACCATGCCAATATTCACCCTTACTTTGAATGATACACTTAAAAGCAATAAACAGCTGGGTGTCACATGTTTCAGAGATTTGCTGATTCATTATTCTGTCCATGTTTCCTGTCTATTTTCTTCATAGAGCTGAATGCAAATGTTCAGTATATTTTTCTATTTTGGGACTGTTTTTAAGAAGTTGCAAATTAGAAAAAGAACAACTAATATGTTTCAAATTCAAATTACTTCAACACAAACTTTAACATAGCAGCACTATGGTATATTTTATATAAACCTTTATTTATATTTCAAATATTGAATTACTGGTAATTTTATCTCTAAAATTATATTAATTAAAATTGTCTTATATATTATTTAATTAATACAATTGGATCTCGATTAAACCTTCTTGACAAGTTAAGTAAGTGGTATAATTTTAAAAACATTGATAATCACATTTTGTCAGAAAAGAAAAACAGTAATCATTATAATAAATCAAAACCAGAAAAGGAAGCCCATGTGTAGTCTGTAGTCAGTAGTGTGATAGTGTCCCGTATGATCTGACCTTCTTCCCCTGTTTTCACCCTCCAGTCCTACTAGAATACGTCTTTACCCTGCCCATAACCAGACGGTCCTTCATCAAATTTTGGACCCAATAACCATTCCCACATTCAAGTCAAATCTTCTTTGCTTTCTATTCATTTGGGTGGTATCACGTTTGAACTTTTCAACGAATCCCCATCACTGTGTGGTCAATAATCACCATTCAACTCATACCACATTCACTATATTGTAGTCCATCAATCATAAACCCCCAAAATTTGCATATTTTCTATGACCAAGACATCCAACAGTCAAAAAAACATGTTAAACTACGTAATAAATTGAGAACTTAAGTAAGACCTTACTTCATCATGAAATCAAGCCATGCTTGAGGGTTTTTTCTAAGAGCATTCACCACTGGTGCATATTCATGTGCCTCTACTCCATACTGAGCAAGTATTTCTGCTACCTCTGCCGCTTCTGTTTGTTCACAAAATGTAATGAGTTCGTGCATTAGCATTTTCCTTTTAAAGTTACACAGCATTTAATACAGAATTTTGTGTTTCAATTTTATCCAATCTTCATCTACTCTTTTCTCGAGAATGAATAATATTTTATTCTTTAAAATTATAATAAAAATTAAAGCATTATATACAAAGACATTTTTAATGATTTCTTAAAATTTATAATAAACATGAGAATATTAAAAGTAATACAAAAACATATTAAAAACCAAAACATTACTCATCTAGCATGTGAAATCGCAATACAATCCAAACAAATATAAAGTAAATATTCGTACGTACTGTTGTTACTGGTTGATCAACGATATAGACAATTCTTCAGTCTCACAAAGAATGTAGTTTAACGTTCTTCAAAATAGATTAAGAACAATAATAGATATACACTTTTTCAAGCAACTTTATTAAAATAATTTTAATTTTTAAATAAACATAATAGTTTGACAGATTTGGTGATTATTTCAAAAAAGTAACGCTTTATTAAAAAATAACATATCAAATTCACTCTATTACCCCCTCCCCCACCAGTCATAAACCCCACGATCTGCATTCAACAGACCTAAAATCACGTTAAAATACATTTTCTGTGTTTAGAATAAATAAATTAAATTCAGACAACTAAGATAGATCCACCAACCGCATTAAACTTTAATAATTTTCTATTTTTTTAATAAAAATATTATTATTATTGATGTCATAATATATATATATATATATATATTAAATATTATTGTGATATTTTAGCTATATTAAAAGATAATAAATTTTTATGTAAATAAAAATATAAAGAAATTATAATATGATAAAATGAAGTTAAGACTATTCAGTATAAAAACAAAAATAAAAATAAAAATTATAGAAAGAATAAGAATCCATTTACACCAAGTAAAAATTAGATGAATTTTGAGTGACAGTAATTACATCATTTAAATTTTGATAAACATACTATTTAATAAAAAATATTTACGTGTTTCAAATATCATGTTATGTATTCAAAACATGGTGGCGTTTTTCAATGGATCATATATGTATATATATATATATATATATATATATATATATATATATGTGTGTGTGTGTGTGTGTGTGTAACGGAAAAAAGCAGAAGAAACCAGTTTCTGGCACGGCGATGATTTCTTCTTGCTCCCTTTTCAATTCTCTGGCGTAATGATCGGCATCACTTTTAGCTGCCAAATAACTGTAGAATGCAGCAAGAAAAATGTCTGAGGAACGTGAAACGATACTTGAGAGTTGCGAGTGTGAAGAGTTTGTTGAAACGTACCCGCCGAGACCCATGGAGATGGCGCCGGCGGCGACTTCAGCTATGCCGGCAGTGAGGACAATGGCGGAGGTGGCATTGGTGCCGGAGAGGCCGGCGGCGAGAGCGAAGGGGACGGTGAGGCCGTCGGAAACGCCGATGATGATGTCGCGGACGACTTCGCCGGCGGTGAAGTGCTTTTCAGTGTGGAGGTCGAGAAGGCTCTGTTTCTCGGCGTCCAAGCTTAGTCTGTGTTCGGTGGCAGCCATTGGTGCGAGCCTGGAAGCCTTTAAAATGCAGTTGAATTACGGAATGTGTCGTCACAATCCAAACAGAGCCTTATGCTACGCACATATTTAGCCTGAACTCTACTCTCTAGTGTTCATCCCAATCCTTCGTTTTATAGTCAATTCCTTTTTCTAGTCAGTGTTTTTAAATTCGCTAAATTACGTTTTTACTCTCTTAATCTGAATTTGTCAGATTAAATGTCACATGATGTTTGTTAAAAGTAATATTATAAATGTAAAAAATTGAATTTTTTTTTATTAAATGGCCTTTCTATCAAAATAGTATTTTGTATTTTATTGCTATCAAAATGAAAAATAAATTAAGCATATTATTAGTATAAGTATCTATATTATTTAGTTTATCTTTTTAAAATCAAAATAAACTAAATAATAAATATAAAATTAAGTAAATATATATAAGAAAATAACAAAACGTTTATTCTACTAATATTTCTATTTTGCAGAGATTACAATGATATTAGGATACATGTGAATAAATTTGATATTGATTAATCAATTAATATGAATAAATTTAGTGTTTGTATTATGAAAATAAGATCATGTATAAATTTGATGTTTGAATTAAAAATAGTGACTCTGTTTTAAACTATGAAAATTCTAAGGTATGAATTTGACTAAAGACTAGTTTATATTTATTTTGTGATTTTTGTAGTATTGTTGAATATAGAAGAAATAAAGTTTGGGATTAATCTCCCTTATGTATAAATCACACATAGGGTCATCTATTTATAGTAAAGAGATACAACTAAAAGAGTAACTGAAAGTAACAGAATAAACAGAAGATATTGTTTGATATTATGGTTAATATATAACAATATCTTAACAATATTAAATAATATCTAAACAATATCTAACACTCCCCTCAAGCTGGAGCATACAAATCGTATGTGTCAAGCTTGTTACAAATATAATCAATTCTAGGACCCAGTAAAGATTTAGTAAAAATATCTGCTAACTGATCACTTGAGTTAACAAACTCAGTCTTGATGTCTCCAGACATAATCTTTTCTCGAATGAAATGACAGTCAATCTCAATATGTTTGGTCCTCTCATGAAAGACAGGATTAGAACTAATATGAAGAGCAGTCTGATTGTCACACACAAGTGACATTTGAGTGACATCTCCAAATTGTAACTCTCTAAGCAATTGCTTGAGCCAAACAAGTTCACAAGCAGCTGAGGCCATAACTCTATATTCTGCTTCTGCTTCTGCACTAGATCTTGCCACAACACTTTGTTTCTTACTTTTCCATGAGACCAAGTTACCACCAATGGAGACACAATATCTAGATGTAGATCTTCTATCCGAAGGAGATCCTGCCCAATCAGCATCTGAGTAGCAAACAACTCTTGTATGGTTATTAGAATCATATAACAATCTTTTTCCAGGAGATCCTTTAATATACTTTAAGATACGAATGACTGCATTCCAATGATCTTCACATGGGGAGTTAAGAAATTGGCTTACCACACTGACTACAAAGGAAATGTCAGGACGAGTAACTGTAAGATAATTCAATTTTCCAACCAATCTTCTATACTGCTCAGGATCAGATATAAGCTCCCCTTGATTTGGTAAAAGTTTAGTATTGGGATCCATGGGCGTATCAACAGACTTTGAATTCATCAACCCAGTTTCCTCTAAAATATCCATGGCATACTTCCTCTGAGATATAACAATACCATCATTGGACTGCGTCACCTCAATACCCAAGAAATATCTAAGTTTGCCAAGATCTTTGGTCTGAAAATGGTGACAGAGATGTTGTTTCAACTGAGAGATGTCATGGTTGTCACTACCTGTAAGAACGATGTCATCAACATATACTATCAAGTAAACACATCCAGCACTTGAGTGTCGATAAAAGACAGAGTGATCTGCTTCACACCGAGTCATTCCAAATTGTTGAACAATCTTGCTAAACTTTCCAAACCAGGCCCTAGGAGACTGTTTTAGGCCATATAGGGATTTGCAAAGATGACATACCATCCCAGAAGACTCCCCCTGAGCAACAAACCCAGGAGGTTGCTCCATATAGATTTCTTCTTGCAAATCACCATTGAGGAAAACATTTTTAACATCCAGTTGATAAAGAGGTCATTGTTGAAGAGCGGCCATGGCGATAAATAAATGAACAGAAGTCATCTTTGCCACAGGGGAAAAGGTATCTCCATAATCCAACCCAAAAATTTGAGTATAACCTTTGGCCACAAGACGAGCTTTGAGGCGATCAATAGTACCATCAGGTCCAACTTTGATTGCAAACACCCACCTGCAACCAACAACAGATTTCCCAGACGGTAACGAGACCAATTCCCAAGTTCCACTATTATGAATAGCACTTAGTTCATCTAACATGGCCTGACGCCAACCAGGATGGGCTAAAGCTTCACAGACAGTTTTTGGAATGGTCACAGAAGAAAGAGAGGAAAGACATGTATAAAAAGGTAATGACAGTCGATGATAACTCAAACCAATATAATGAGAGGGATTACGTGTAGAACGGATACCTTTTCGGAGGGCAATGGGAAGGTCAGACTCAAGTGTCACATCCGGAGGAGACAAAGTAGTTGGCACTTGAGTAGAGTCACATGGTGGTGGTTGTGATTGGTTTCGACAACTATAAACCTGAAGAGGCAGTGAAGAAGAAGCTGACTGCGGAGTAGAATCTAATGGTGAAGAAGACACAGTTAGAGGGTCACAAACAACAGGAACATTAAATGTACTAGGAATGTTGACAAGATTGGATGGAGACAGAGGTGAAGATTGACTTTTAAAATAAAAAGAGAACTCATCAAATGTGACATCTGCAGACACAAAATAACGGTTAAGAGAAGGAGAAAAACATTTGTATCCTTTTTGTGATCTTGTAAACCCTAAGAAAACACATTTATGTGATCTAGGAGAAAGCTTGTCAAGACTAGAACTAAAATTATGAACAAAACATGTAGACCCGAAAACTTTTAGAGGTAAGGGATGAAGTGGTTCATGAGGGAATAAAATGGAATAATGTATTTTATTATCTAGAACCGAAGATGGCATGCGATTAACAAGATAACATGCAGTAAGAAGAGCATCACCCCAAAAATGTTGAGGAACCTCTCCATGAATTAAAAGAGTACGAGTTGTTTCAATAAGATGTCTATTTTTACGTTCAGCTACACCATTTTGCTGAGGTGTATAAGCACAAGAAGTTTGATGCAAAATACCATGAGAAGCCATGAATTGTTTAAAAGAATGAGAAAGATATTCACGACCACTATCACTGCGCAAAACTCTAATAGAAACACCGAACTGAGTTTGAATTTCATTGAAAAAAGTTTGAAAGATATGAAATAATTCAGAACGATTTTTCTTCAAAAATAACCAAGTGCATCTGGAATAATCATTAATGAAAGTAACAAAGTATTGAAAACCTAAAGTAGACAAAATGCGGCTAGGTCCCCAAATGTCAGAGTGAACCACGACAAAAGGGGACAAAGCACCACGTGTGACAGTACGAGGAAAGGAAGTACGACTATGTTTGCCTAATTGACATGACTCACATGCCAAACTAGACAATTTAGATAAGGCAGGGACAAGTTGTTGTAACTTGGCAAGACTTGGATGACCTAACTGAGCATGGAGAAGAGAGGGAGACTCTATAACTGCACCAACATGTGTAAAGGGACGAAGATGATAAAGACCATGAGACTCACATCTTGTGCCAATCACCTGTTTCGAACTCCGGTCCTGTAAACACACAAAATTGTTGGTAAAAGAAACAACACAATCAAGAGAACGAGTTAGACGACTGATGGATAATAGGTTAAAAATTATATGATCAGTAACAAAAGGTAAAGGATCAGGAGAGGATAAAGAGGAGAACAAAGATTTGTTACCAGTAATATGATCAGTGGCTCCTAAATCAAAAACCCAAGGACCAAAAGAAGATTGAGTCAGACCAGCAAAAGATGTACCTGTGTGTGCGACAGAAACAATGGAACTAGAAGATTGTTGATCCTTATACCATTTGAGAAATTTGTTGAACATAGCAGGTGTGTCTGATGAAATAGAAGAAGGAGGATCCTTAGCAGATAAAGGTGGGGAAAGATCAGTCTGAGCAACTGCAGTAGATCGAGTAGGACGACCATGTAATGCATAACACTTCTCAATCTTGTGACCTAATTTGCCACAATGTTGACACTCATGTAATGCATAACACTGGTCAATCTTGTGACCTAGCTTGCCACAATGTTCACACTTAGGACGCCCTTTTTCCTGTTTGCGAGGATGAGTTCGATCATCACGGTGAGATACCAATGCAAAAGAATCATTAACAGAAGCAGGTGTGTCAGGGTTGGGTTTTGCTGGTATACGCAAAAGAGTGGAGCAGGTCGATGTCAAGGTGGGGACAACCGGAGAACCCAAAATCTGATCACGAATATGTGAATATTGATCAGCAAGTCCGTGTAATGCCCCTAGCATGAAGAACTTTGATTGTTGTCCTATCTCGGTGGCAGGGTCGGGGGAAGGAGGCAATAACTCATTGAACTCATGAAAAAGAGCATGAATTTTGCCCATATAATCAGTCATAGAATCTTGATGTTTAGAGGCAATAACTTCTAAATTTAGAACATACATCATAGAGACGTTGAGTATCATTGGTGTATAATAACCTGTCATGTTCCCAGATTTTGGCACATGTTTCGTAGAAACGAAAAATTTGTTTTAACGAAGGATCAAGAGTACCCTTGAGAACCACGCATAATTGAGCATCAATGGTATCCCAACGGTCTTCCTCACCAGGAGTGAGAGTAGGTGCTTTCGGGGCAAGATGATCAAGATACTTCTGACTCTTAAGCCATAATCTGACGTCTGATGACCATGTGACATAATTAGGGCCAGTTAACTTGTCAATGGATAAGTGCACATTAACATAGTTAGTGTAGATGGAAGGATCAGACGCAGTACTGACAGA